AATGGCAACCAATAGTTACTGGACAACTGATGTTTTCAAAGGTGTTCCAGCCAAAGAACAAGGTGTTTGACCCTATTAAACAATGGGTTTTTAATGCCTTCCCTGCTAAAATTCATTTTTTTTTATAGCTAGAAGTAAGTAACAAGCAATTGCCCACAAAGCTGGAATAGGAAAATCAAATATTCTGCCTATTTACACAGGGTCCCCTGAAGTCATTCCTGATTAAAAATTGTACCACTTCAATCTTCCTACTGGAGATACCTATTAACTAGAACTGTGTGTGAAAGCCAATGAACTTAGTACATAATTACACACATCCTATACAAATTACTTCTCAATGACCTCTACTCGTGAAAATAACCCAAAGAAGGATGATTGGCTCATTATAAATCTACAAGAAGATTTCCCTGGGAAAAGGTATTAAAAAGCAAAATCCTGAAAGATCTTAAGCTTCAGTTGAATTTAATTTCAGCAGGAAGCAATCACTTTAGTATCCGAATTCCCAGTGCATTTTGCATGAACCTCTCCAGTGGCAAGTAACAGTCTCCAACTTAGATCCCTGCTGCTGTCACAAGTAGCTATGTGACCTTGGACAAGCCACTTTCTTTCCTAGTGTTTCCATCTGTAAAATGAGAGGCTAGAACTAGGTGATTTCAAAAGTCTCTTCCGGATTCCCAGGTTTCATCATTTCACAGTTATAATCACAAGAGCAGCTCTTCCCTCCCCTGTTCTCTCGAGGCAAGGAAGGCATTTCATTTACCTTGCAGATCCTGTACTTTCTAGAACAGCTGACGGAGTGTCCCTTAGCAATCGGTCAGCACATGTGTTCAAAGACACAGAAAACAATACAGTTCTCTGACGTGTCCACTCCCCGTGACCTCCTTGAGCCCTCCTCAAGTCCAGACGTGATTTTAAATGGCTCTCTTCAAGTTCACTTTTACCAGAGTTCTGGCAGGATTCTAAGGAGGCCACAAAACTAAACATGTGTCACTTGTCACCGGGAAGAAATGCACCCACCGGGGAGTTCCAGAACACATGCATAGGACACCTTCTGACCTCAAACCACACACGTCAGAGACAGGGGGACGAGGTTCTGTTTCACAGAATAAAGTGAATCTGATGCATTCCAACCATGTGAGAGGATGGGGAAAGTGAAGTTGGAGGGGGAAAGGAAGGAGTCAGGACCTGCGAGAAAAAGCCAGTAGAACATTCCCTGGACCTTTCCAGAAGGCAGGTATTCTAAAGCCCCAAATCCTCCAGGCAGCTGCTCTGCTGGGATAGAGTACCCACTCATAATGGATCTGGCCTTAGGTGTAAAGACTCTGAAGCCAGAAAGCCTGCACTCAAATCCTAGCTCTGCTGCTTGGTCACAGCTTCACCAAGTACGAGTTAATCGTCCTTCTATGCCTCAGTTTCCTCATCTGTAAAATGAAGATGACCACGCCATTCATTGGGTTGTGGTGAAGAAACTGAGTGCATACACGTAAGATGCTTACAACGGTGCCTTGCACAGGGCAGAGGAGCTCCCAGTCCTGCTGCTACCTACCCCTCTTACTAGATGGAGTCCTGGGGAGCTCGGGGATTAGGAGAACAAAAGCTGATTATGCACAACGCTCTTACAAATTCAAATTCTGCATTTCTCTCTTCTAGGTAATAACTGCAAATACAAACCTTTCCATATTTATATTTATACATAATTACATTTGTATACTTTATCAGTCCTAACCACTCCTGACCAAAGAAACTATTCATTAGAAATTTAAATTCCTTTGTGAAAGATATTCTAGTTTCAAACGACTTGATCATCCACCCAAAGGGAGTACAATAGCACCATTAACCGGCAGGGCTGCGTGTCAGCAGAGACACAAAGACACCTTTGTAGCAGTTTGTGCTATCACCCACCATTGCTTCGGTTTCAGAGAGTTGTCTTCTTAAGAAAGAAACTAACAAACTCCATTGTTCCTTCACATCAGAGTTCTTGGATGTGATAGTTCCAAATCCCTGGCAAGTCCTTATTAAAGATCAGAGGACTCTGATTCCCTCCACCAGGACAGCATCGAATCCCTTCAAGCCATTTTCTTAGGTCAGCATCATTATTTAAGATGCCAGAGAAACTGGTGAAATTTCCAACCACTAAACGAGTTCCTTGCTTTGGACCAAAGACATAAAGTAAAGTTAGAATAGATATTAGTTGTCCGGATGAAATTTTTGAGACTAGGAAATTGTAAGAAATTTGAAAAGTAGTAGTAGATGTTTTTTCTTAAATCCCTTTTCCAGAACAGTCCTTTTTAGCAAACAAAAAGCTAGTAATAACAACGAGAAAGTCCAATTAACCAACTACCACCACATAAACCTTCCAGTCTTCCCTGACGGGCTATCTAGAACTCTGGGTTTCCAAACATCTTTCAATCAAACAGATAGGAGAGCTGATACTATGCCTTGAATCCTTTGCCAAGTAATCAGACACAAAAGAAAGTCAGCAATAGGCCAGGCATGGGGACTCATGCTTGTCATCCCAGCACTTTGGGAGGCTGAGGCAGGAGGATTGCTGGAGGCCACGAGTTCAAGATCAGCAAGAATAAAACCCAGCCTCTACAAAAAACAAAAAATTAGATGGGTGTAGGAATACACACCTGTAGGCCCTGCTACTCAGGAGGATCACCCAAGCCCAGGTGTTTGAGGTTGCAGTAAGCTGTGATGATGCCACTTCAATCTAGCCAGGGCAACAGAGTAAGACTCTCAAAAGAAAAAAAGTCAAGGCCGGGTGTGGTGGCGCACACCTATAATCCCAGCATTCTAGGAGGCTGAGGCAAGTGGATTGTCTGAGCTCAGGAGTTTGAGACCCACCTGAACAAGAGCAAAAATAGCCAGGCGTTGTGGTGGGCACCTGTAGTCCCAGCTACTAGGGAGGCTGAGGCAAGAAAATTGCTTGAGCCCAAGAGTTAGAGGTTGCTGTGTGCTATGATGCCATGGCACTCTATCCAGGGTATCAGAGTGAGACTCTTATCTCCAAAAAAAACCAGAAGAGAAAGAGAAAAAAGTCAGCACCAGTCATGCCATCCTAGACATTTCCAACTATCTTTTCTGTAATCCTGTGAAACAACGGGAGCCCCAAACACACAGAAACTGAATAATGGAAGACAGAAACCTGGAGCAGGCTAAAAGGCAGCCTATGATCTCCATTCCAAGGGGGGCAGATTTCAGAAAATGCACGAAGTCTGCCACAACACCCCTATGGTCTAAAACTGCAGAACTCGAGGATGAAGGCATGAGTTAAAATTGTTAAAAAAGAAAGGAAAAGAAAACTGCAGAACTAGGTAGAGGGCTGCTTCCTTTATTTCCTGAAAAATAGAAGACTGTCTGCTTGCAAAACCCACCTCAACAGTTTCTGGCAACGAAGGATAGTAGTAAAAATTACATGAAGCCAAGAACAAGTCCATATTTGACAAATCACACCCATCAAGATAGTGATGTCAACCACAATAAAATATTTTGGCAAGACTGGAAATGTGCACCTGTGGGAACCTGGAAAGATTTGACAGATTTTTGTTTTCCCGGCCCTTTATCAGCAAGTTAATTATAGCAACTGTACAATCTACTCTGAGCTTTAGAGCAAGACAGTTGGCTGCACGAAACCAAGATGCTGCTCTCCCGGGCATGGGAAAGACAAAATGACAGTAGTGCTTACACACGGAAATATTCTGAGTATAGAACACAGATAACGGTGAGCCAGAAAGCACAGCCAAGAGAGAAAGAGGCGTATTCTGCAGACGTGGGTGAAAGAAGCCTCAGAAGGACACACGACACACGTGTGCAGGCGGTCATGCGTGTACATGCAGCACAGACACACACATATGCACATGTCTATCTCTTGAGTTACACAACACGTGTGCAGGTGGTCATGGGTGTAGGTGAACATGCAGCATAGACACACACGTACACACGTATATACCTCCTGAGTTACACAACACACATGTGCAGGCAGTCACACATGTACGTACAGCACAGACACAGACACACATGTATATGTGTATACATCTCCTGAGTTATATAACACATGTGTGCAGGCGGTCACATGTATATGTGCAGCACAAACACAGACACACACGTACACAAGTATATATCTCCTGAGTTACACAACACATGTGTGCAGGCGGTCACACATCTACATGTAGCACAGACACAGACA